TTGAACCTAGGCTTTTCCTAAAACCGTGCCATTTCCTTTTCTAATTTGCCACATGCAGTGATTTAACATAATGAGACCGGATCTGGGAGACATCAAGGCTTGTTTGGGTGAGATTGGTACTAAAAGGACCACCCACTTCGTCCACCCACTTCGTCTGGGCGGCCCTGGTGCCCATTTGAACTGCGGATGAGAATCGCCTTGATTCCTCTGCCCCCATTTTACCCTGTTTGTGTTTTCTGGACGTGGGGCATGGGGCAGAACACCCCAAACCTGAGGTTCCATGAGCACCCTTCATTCCTGCCGTGGGCTGATGGTTGGCATGGTGAGAGGGGCCCTTGTACTGACCTGTGTCTTTTTGTCTTTGTAGCCCCAGAATGTCATAGTGCCTGGGATATAGAAAGTGCTCCATCCATGTTCACGAGTACTCAGACATTCATTCCATTGCCTCTAATCTAAACCACTGCAAAAACCACTTGTTCTGCCTCTAACGGTCTAACCGTTCTCCTCTAGCCCCCAGCTGTCTTCCCAAAGACAAAGTGATTGCTCTAACCCCTAAATCTCCCTAGGTTAGACTGCAGTAATCATACTGGTTGTCTGTCCCTTTAAAAAGCTTTCCTCTAAAGCCCGACCTAGCAACTGCTATTTTCATGCTATTGGCCTGCACGGGAACACATGGCCACTAGCTGGCCTGAGGGCTGGCGAATCAGAAAATGCAGCTCTTCAGCCTCTGGTGTAAAGATTGTTAAGGGCGAAGGGCATTGTGAGTGGCTTTTGGAAAACCAGCCCCACAACCCTTCTCTGAACTTTGTACATTCACTCATTTCAGCAGTTAGAAAATGGTTTGCTTCTTTGTTGCCCACACTGGATTCTAAGCCCTTAAAGCAGTGGTTCTCAACCTTCTGGCCCTCTAAATACAGTCCCTCATGTTGTGACCCAACCATAAAATTATTTTTGTTGCTACTTCATAACTGTAATGTTGCTACTGTTATGAATCGTAATGTAAATATCTGATATGCAGGATGGTCTTCGGCGACCCCTGTGAAAGGGTCGTTTGACCGCCAAAGGGGTCGCGACCCACAGGTTGAGAACCGCTGCCTTAAAGTGTGTGTGTGCTGGAAGGAAACCACTTCTTTTAACTCTAGCATCCCTGCCCCCAGCACAGGGCTGGCATATTGTATTGACCGAACAAATAAAATAATTATTGTACATTTCCAAGTAAGAATTTTATGGGATTAGAATACCTGGGCAGACTGTTGGGGTTTCTAAGCATTTAAAGACCTTTTTTCCCCTCCTTCTCTTTCTTTTCTTTGCCTTTATCTTCATCTCTTCCTCCCCCTTCTCCTCTGTTTTTGGATCAGCAGGGCCCATTGCAAAGACATATTCTAGAGCTGGGGTGGGTCTTTCTTCCTGAAGCCCTTTCCAAACTTCACATGCCTCAAGCACATGGTTTTTAATCAGAGGAACCTGGGCTTGGATCCAGGTTCCCTTGTTATTTTGTGCCCTTAACCTTTCTACTAACCCATTGTCTTTTCTGTACAATGGAGATGGTGTTGTAAAGATTACATGGAGCCTGACCCACGTGGCTCAGTTAGTTAGCTGTCATCATATATACCAGGAGGTTGCTGGTTCGATTTGGGGGGTTTGTGGGGGACAGCTAATAGATGTTACCCTCTGGCATTGAAGTTTCTCCCTTTCCCTCTCCCTTCCTCTCTCTCTCTCTCTCTCTCTCTCTCTCTAAAAATCAAGGAAAATATGTTTTTAAAAAATTAAATGGAGCCCGCCTATGTTGCTCAGTGGTTGAGTGTCAACCTATGAACCAGGAGATCATGGTTCCATTCCGGTCAGGGCACATGCCCGGGTTGAGGTCTCAATCCCCAGTAGGGGGTGTGCAGGAGGCAGCCAATCCATGATTCTCTCTCATCATTGATGTTTCTATCTCTGAAATCAATAAAAATATCTTTTTTTTTAAAGATTAAATGGAATAATGTTTTGGAAAATGTGTAGCACAGTGCCTGGCATACAGTAAACTCTGCATAAATGCAGTCACTGGTATGATGGTCAAGAGCATGCTGGCTAGGACCTCGTTGCCTGGGTTTGAATCCCAGCTCTGCCACTCAACTGCTATGTGACCTTGTGCTAACTTACATTTTTTGTGCCTCCGTTTCCATATCTGTAGACCGAGGGTGATAATATGATAACAATACCTAATTAAGTTGATATGAAGATAAAATGACTCCATGTATAAAGCACTTAGCAGCTAACACCCAGTAAACAGTGTGCCTTGGTTAGTTTTATTATTACCACAGCCATTACGGGTCTGGCCATGTCTATCGCCGAGATAGACTGTAACGGTGAAAAGCGGTATCTTACACATCTTGTTGCCTGGTCTTTTCCTTAATTGAAATCTGAGGCTTCAGGAAATCCTGCAGTTTGAATAATCCACGAGCTGGAGCAATGGAGCATCCAATTACGAATGCCTCCCTGCCTCCCAGCTGCAGCTGGGAAGGAAGGTGAGGCCTCCAGCACTGTCTCGCTGAGGTTGTGGTCCTATTATGGAGAAAGCCTTGCTTTGTATGCAGCTGCCTTGCCTTGGTACGGCCGCATAATTGTGCCTTTTTGTTTTATTTTAAAGCATCTTGAGGAATTCAGAGCCCTCTCCCGCTGAGAGCTGCAAAGCCAAAGAGTGTCATGTCTCTAATGAGCCTTGCAGACTCTCTGTTGGCCCCACCGAGGCAGCCAGGCAGGGAGCACGCACACAGGCCCGCACCGGCATCCCCAGGCGCCCTTTGAGCACAGGCCGCCGTGCTGGACCTCATTGTGGGACTCCCTGAGCACCCCCAGGGTACCCCACGCCTGTCTTCTTTGTCTCAGAAGGGCACAGAGTTGCTTCCTGAATACTAGGCTTGTTGGTAACCTTTGTGGGCTGGCAGCGAGAAAACAGAAATTAATTATTCATATCAGCGGGCCTGAAGGAGCTGTTGTTTGCAGAGTTGACTGTCCTTCTGGCTTCCAGACCCAGAATTCCCCAGGGCCCTTGGACAAGCAGAAGACAGTGTGGTTCTTAGAGGCAGCTGCTCTGAAAGCGAGGTGGCAAGTGGCCGCCCCCAGGCTACAGGCAGTCTGCTGGTGGGCTTTGTTGAGGGTGAAAACGAAATGAAAACAATTTAAAATGGGGGGACTTTGCGTAAAATCTGATTTCTGGCTTTCCTGGAAAGATGGGGGAGTATGCAGTACATGTGGAAATCATCAGGCCAAAATGCTGACCCCTTCAGAGCGGACACGATTCCCTAATTGCTTCAGCCTTCCTCTGGCCCCTTTATCTGCTTGCATTGTGAGAGGTGTGTGTATAGTGTAGTGAACCGAGCAAGACTCTGGAGCTGAGCTGCCTGGCCTTGCAGCCTGCCTCTGCACTTACTAGCAGTGTGCCCTTAGGCAAATGACTTAACCCCTGTGGGCCCCAGTTTCCTCATCTGTAAAATGGGGGTGATACATAGTTTACATCACAAATTTGTGAGAACTGTTGAGTTAGTTAAGTGCTTAGGATAGTGCCTGTCACATATTAAGTGCTGCTTCGTTGTTAATAGCTCCTAGTATTACACTACCTGTCTAGTGTTTTAGGCATTTGAGATCACGTTCCCTGTGTTAAAGTGTTTTTCATAGAAGAAAAAAATGTATTTCTTTCCTAGTGTGCCTCTTAACTCCCTAGTAAGTGTTCACTCCCTCCTCCAATCTCAGCCCCTTGGAATGTAACAGTTAGAGTAGTCCTACCTACTGCAACAAACCAACTGCAAGGTGTCCGTGGCTTAAAAGGCTAAGTTTCTTTGGGTTCACATAACAATGAAGTAAGTGTTCCTGATGGGCAGATTTGCTTCCCTTGGTCACTCAGACCCCAGGCTCCTGCACTCTTGTGGATCTGCCCTCCTCTAGGTAGTTCTCAGCTTTCAGAGAGCACTAGGGGAGCAAGAGAATGAGACACACTTGCTTCTTAACTCTCTTAGCTCAGAGGTGATTCCCATTTCTTCCTTTCATATTCCATTGGCAAAGATAAGGCACGTGTCCCCTCTTGAATTCGGGGGTCCTGGCAAATGTAGCCCCTCACTCTGCATCTGCTCCCCAGCAAGAGTCCTACTCTGGGGAGGGGGCTTGGGCAGGAATCCTTGGAGGAACCCCAGCCGTGTTTGCCATCACAGTCATTGAATGAGCCCCAAATCATCATCCTCCTGGACCTATTTTCTTGTTGCCTCTTAATAGCCTGTGAAATGTTTCCAAGGGTGACTGCCTTGTTTTTTGTTCGGTTTATTGGGGAGATAAGGAGAGAAACAATCATTTCATTTTCAATTTTATGCTTCAAATTTGTATATACCATAAATGCATTGATTTAGGGTATCTACATTAGATTCGGGCAATATATTTCATCTGAATTACCTATGTCGATAGAAATACAACATAACCCTTGTGTTAAATATACATTGAAATAGCTGTGAAATTTGAGGTAACAAGACCATTTACAATCAGAATTGTTAGATTCAAATCTTAAATCTCTACTCTTTTTTTTTCCCTTTAAATTGGGTTAGCTGTAGACATCTAGCACTTAGCCTTGTTAAGGTAGGTAATTTAAACTTATTAAGACAGTTATTCATGGGAGATATATATACCAATAAAATATACTAGTACCACAAATTTTAAAAAGTGATGAAAGCAAAAATAATTTTTTAGGTTGGAGGAAACCTCAAACAGCTAATCTTTAGTAGTAGGAGGGTGGCGGGGAAGCAGAAGTCCTATGCCAGTGGTTCTCAACCTTGGCTGCACATTAGAATCACCTGGGAATCTTTTTAAAATCCTGATTTCTGGGCCTCATCCTCTGGAAATTCTGTTTCTTTGTTATGGG